TTTCACCTCCTGAGTAAAACAAGAAGAGGAACTATCCTAAGAAGAAGCACTGCTTGTACCATTTGGGGAACTCCTGCATATCTTTATAGGCCTTACTCAATAAGCCAATTTTAAATAAGGATTGCCACCAAGGTTTTGAATGAGCTGCACTTCAAGCAGGGAAGAGAAGCAGCCCTCTTGATCGTGCATTGGTGAAGTGATGGCAAAGATAAAATACAGCTGGTCCAGCAAGCCTGGAAAGGATAATATTTTGGGGGACAGGAAGCCTTTATGTGTGAGAAACCATCAGGAGATCCATGGAGTGTTTTGTTCCTCTAAATATAACTATATTTCCAAAACCCAGTACACAAAACAGCAAATACGGTAATGAAGTATGATCAGCCACAAGGAGAATGGCAAGCAAGGAGAAAAAATTGATCCCAATATCATGAAACTGTGGTGCAGAAGATATGGAAAGCGGTACTCCTTAATGTTTCCATTGCTAAACAAAGTTAGTGGAAAGACCAGGCCAGATTCTAAATGCAGAAATAATACATGAATGAGGCTTTGAATTAATGATGAAAGATGGTCAACAATCAGGCTGGTAACCATTGAGGCTGCGAGCTACACTTACATTAACCTCATGAAGTGGGTTTTAATTACTGTGGCAAATATGAACAGGTGTACTACATTATAACTGACGGGCAAGTGTTCTTATGAGTGTGAATTTGTCTCAGTATTAACACTATTTTATGTAGAGGGGCAGGGTTGAAAGTTTCATGTGGTCTGCTTGAAATGGGAGGAAATGCTGGCATTGCACCTAAAACCACAGCAGTACTGAATGGGGATTTCAACACAAGCTAAATATATGGGGGGGGGGCGGCAGTGAATGCATGGAAGAGTTAAATCCAGTGCTGGATCAAGCTGATGACAAGGCAATACAAGAAATGTTTAGTCAAGGAGCATATTCTTCTTTCTTAGATGGCCCTTGCAATATAGGGGATAAGATTTTCCCTGTATTTGAAATTTGAAAAAGTGAAGCAGAGAATTGATTACTCACCTTGTAAGCAGAGAAAAGCAAGTAAGTGAACAGAGCAACTCTATTCTTGAAGAGGTAACATTACGTCAATTTATATGAATATTTAGGTAGCCTAATGAATGGCTAAAACAAACAAGAACCAAAAAAAAAAGCTGGGTGAAGAGTAGCAACACATACATTTTATCTTATAGGCTATATTTAAAGAAAACAAGGGTTTACAGAACAGCATCCATGTTCTTACTTCCAAGAGTTTTTGAATATTATCCACGAAGCACTTCCAACATCCTTATATACCCAAGTAGAGAGTTGAGATCAAATTGCATGGAAAGGTCAAACAAGAAAGTGAAGAGTGGTCCTTACCCTGAAGATTCCTTCTGGCCTGGTGAAGAAAACTCCAAAAAGATGGGTTTAGGGCTCCTACAGCTTAGGAAGACAGGGTTCACATGACAAAAGCATTTTGTTTAATCCAGGTGGCCCCCAGCTTCTCCTCTAGCTCTAACTGTAACTATGCTAATGCTAAAATAAGTTGAGGATTTTGCAGAAAGGGAGATAGACATTTCGCAGAAAGGAGACATTTCATACAAACGAAGCCCCATACATCTCCAAAGACAGTAGTGACTGTGATGGCAAAGAGTTTGCTTTCTGTGCTCTGGCACTCTGGTCAACTCAGCTGAGTTACAATAGGGGTATTTTTGCAGGCCTCTTGACCAGATCAAACCAGACTTATAATATGTACAGCGAGTCTTGGTTGAAGGAGAGCTCTAAAACTAGTGGATGTATGAAAGCCAGTCTGTCAGTTCTGGCAGCTCAGGGTGTTTGAAGTGGTCTATGTACAGGGAGCAAGTTTTTGTAGGATTTAACTGCCAAACATGGTCTCTGCGGAATTGTACTTGTCAATGTTGTAGTCACAATAATACTAAGCATTGCCAATATGGCAATCTTGTCTATTTCAACTAAGGAGGCACTGGTAGTAAATGCCACCAATGTGGCTGTGGTTCTACACTGAAGTGGGCTCTAATCTGGACTGAATTTAAGTGATGCACTTCACAGGCTATGTAAACATAGGCTAATGAACAAGGAGCCTTTTTGATAAGATAGACAGATACAGATAAAATGCTTATGAATATCTAAAACAAGGTTGTGCAAATTCAAAGGGGCCAAGAGGCAAACATCTGCCTTCACCAGCACCCTCCAGAATTTCCAGAGAATATGAATAAAGCCTCAAAACGCAAATATTGAACCAGAAATTGCTGATTCAAACTTTTCAAAATTGGTGTTTTGGGATCTTAAAGGGGATGTAGTTGTAGTCCTCTCTGAACTATTCAAAAGGTGAACTATCCCTTCTGGAAGCTTTCAAGAGCTGCAATTAATCTTTCTTTTTCTTCCCTCAAAAATGAGGGGGGGGCGAGAGAAGGTTATGAGTTTCACAAAGAGTCTTGGAGACTGACCTCGGGGGCTGCACTTTGTTCGTCCATGACATAAAGGCTGCTATGCAGTTGAGGTAGTTTTTAAATGCCCTACACAGATCCTATTTCTTCCATGCTCTCAAACAAGGAATGAGAGGGGTTAGGAAGGAAGGAAGGAAGGAAGGAAGGAAGGAAGGAAGGAAGGAAGGGCAAGGTCTTGTGTATTTACTACAGCTGAACATTTGAAGAGAGTTCAGCTGTAGGAAAAAAGTGAATTTTGACTTGAGGTCACTATGAAGGAGTCACACTGAAACAGCACAGAGTTCTCTGATTGATAACACTGCTCACACTGAAACAGCACAGAGTTCTCTGATAACACTGACGCTTCTGACATCCACCTTATTCATGTTTTGACTACAAGGCCAAGCCTTCTAGAGAGGACACGGAGAAAGGAATGAAATGGAAGGGTTTAAAAGCTGATTTCTGCCACTGCCTCAAGAACTGCCTACAAACCACAGGAGAAAAAGCAGAGGGCTACCAGATGGCCAAGTAGCATTCTTCCCTTTGATGAGAAGGTGGGATAGGAAGGTGATCCGTCAGAGAAGGAATGGGGGGATCTCTCTTCCTGGAGAGGAGCTGGCTAAATAACCACTGTGTGTGTGTGGGGGGGAATAAAGACTCTAGTCTGGGGGAAAGCTGGCTCTCTGGATTCTGCAATGCTTATGCAATGCTTATGCAGCAGAAAAATAAGCAAGAACAGTGCCGTAAGTGGGAAAAGATAAGATAGATATTCTCAGGTTTGGTTGTTGTGGGTTTTTCGGGCTCTTTCTAAGGTTTGACAAATAAGGAGGAGAAGAAGGGTAAAAAGCTGTTTCAAAACCTCTAAGTTTTAAAAGGGAGACACACACACTCTGGCATGGATTTAAACTGTACTTTCCCTTGAGAGAAAAATGTATAATGGTTGTTGTAGATTTTTCGGGCTGTTTAGCCGTGTTCTGAAGGTTTTTCTTCCTAATGTTTATTTATTTTATCTATTATTGGATTTATATCCTGCCCTTCTAGACAGGAGTCTACTTAGGGCGGCTCACAATATATTGTGGACAAACAATAAAATCAATTAAAATCTACAATAATAATAATTACATGATCAAGATGGGAGGATAAACAACAAAAGCAAGAAAGTACAATCAAGAATTGGCAGGAGGGAAGGCCTGCCTAAAGAGCCAAGTTTTTAATTGGCTCTTAAAAACACGTGCCAGGGTGATTTCCGATGGCAAGGTGTTCCATAGTTGAGAGGCCACTGCCGAGAAGGTGTGGTTTCTTGTTCTTTCTTTCCAGTCCTCTCTTGGCGTTAGGCCCCTCAGCCGTCTTTCTTGGCTACAACGAGTGACTCGGGTAGATCTAGGTGGGAGAAGGCGTTCTGCCATGTATCAAGGTTCTAAACTGTTTAGGGTTTTATAAGTCATCATTAATACTTTGAAGTCAATGTGGAAACGAATGGGCCGCCAATGCACAGCAGCCAGAATGAGAGAGATATGCTGGAATTTTCTTGCTCCACTATGTAATCTGGCTGCCGCATTCTGCACCATTCGAAGTTTCCGCATCAGTCTCAAAGGTAGTCCTACGTAGAATGCATTACAGTGGTCTAATCTCGACCAATAATGTTTTGCCAGTCTCTGTGGCTGGCATCTTCAGAGGACAGGAGTTAGAACTCTGTCTGTTTTCTGGTGTAGTGTGTGGGATAGTGAATATCTGTAGCTTTGGGATCAGCTTTTTGTCATTTTCAGGAGATTGGGTGATTATGGTGATCAGGGTGTTTTTTGTTATGGGTGTATTGTTGTGATAAGGGGGGAGAGATGATCTGTCACTGTGATTGATGGGTGTCGTTAGCTCGTCTTTTGTGTGCAGTGATCACCGGCCCTTGTGGCTGGGCAGAGTTCGTTGACCTTTTGCAAGCTGTATTTTTCAGTGCTGGGAGCCAGGCTTTGTTGAGTATTAGACTTTCTTCTTTTTTGTTGAAGCTCTGCTGATGTTTGCTGGTGACTATCCCACACACCAGAACACAGACAGAGTTCTGAAGATGCCAGCCACAGAGACTGGCAAAACATTAGGAAGAAAAACCTTCAGAACATGGCCAAACAACCTGAAAAACCTACAACAGCCATCAGATCCTGGCCATGAAAGCCTTCGAGAATGTCAAAATATATAAGTTCATCCAAGAGGGAAGGGAGAAAAGCAAATGTTTTGGAGAGTTTGGTACCTCTATTGCCCTAGCTCAGCCTTCCACAACTTGATGCTCTTCAGATCTGTTGGGCTGCCACCTCCCAAAAAACCCCATCAGCAAAACACAGTGTATGTGACTGGGGAATTCTGGAATTTGTAGTCCTACGCATGTGAGAAATACCAGTTCGAGGAAGGCTGCCCGAGACACAACATCCAGGTCAGTAAATTCTGTGGGGGAAATCTGTCAATTAGAACAAGAAGAATGTTGTGAATAATGTTACAAGTGAAATCTGTCAATTAGAACAAGAAGAATGTTGTGAATAATGTTACAAGTGAAGACACACACCTAATGGCACAGTAGAAATTAATGTTTATTTATAAGCCTTAAAAGTCACAGGGGGGTAGCATTTGTGGCAAAAGTCTACCCAAGTAGACAGTATATAATATATCCAATCGTACCAGGAGGAACTCAGATAGATAAAAATATGGCAATAAAACTGGTGAGCTATCATTCCTAGGCAAATTATCTAACAGATAGGTTGAACTCTATGAACTTGTAGCAGTGCCTCCTATGAAAAGGTGGGTACATTTATGAAGACTGGGATTTCCTGAGACACAAATCTTATGAAAACTAAACAGAACCTAAAGAGGTACTATACTGAAGTAATATAGTTAAAAAGGGCAGTATGTGGGAAAACAGAATATGTGTATGAACTATCCCATGTTTAAGATCAATGATTTAAAGTTGTTCTTTGCATTATTCTAATTTCATCATTCAGAATAACTGAAATTGAAGGATGTGATTTTGAGTATCATGGGCTTCAATGGACCATCAAAGCCTGAGACAGAAACTGCTGCTGCTCTAAGATGCTGAATGAAACTAGCATTATTAAGGAAATGAATGTGCCATTCAGATTTTCAACAATGCTAAAAGAAGAGTGGAGCCAGCATCTTCATTAAGAAACACAGCAACCAAGATGAAGGATAATACAAATGGTGGGACATATATGTGGTCTGTGCCATTTCCTTCATGTAGTCATGACTAATCTGTATAGCTAGGAAGCCCAAAGAGCAGAAGAAAAAAGTAGGTAGCACTAATAGTGCTGCTGATGAAGGAAAGCATGGGAAGCTGTCTTATGCCAAGTCAAACCATTAGGTCATCTACCTCAGTATTGTCTACACTGGCTGGTAGCAGTTCCACAGAGTTTCAGATAGGAGTCTTTCCCCAGTCCTGGCTACAGTTGTCAGGGCAGAATCAGGTCCTATCTTCATGCAAAACAGGCACTTTACCCTTCAGCTACAATTTTTCTTCAATGAGAGTTGAAAGAGATTTCAGCACAGATTGTGGACAATCCCAGTTTTGGACATAATCAATCAAAGTTGGATAGTTTCAAATATCCAGTGTATATCTCATTACAAACTTGTTTAATGTAGAAAAGGAGACCTTAAAATAACCCAAACAATTTTGAGCTAAAAACAAGATTGGAAGTGCTTGTTATTCTTCTTAACAATTTATCATGTTGCAAGGTTCATAATGTTTGGTGGTGTTGGTGGGACACCTGACTTAGATATGTTAAACAAAGGTAACAAAACCTTGTTTTAAAAACTGTAGGCTAATAAGGATGGTATTGCCTTTGGCTATATAAAACAGCAAGATCAGCTGTTACTTTGTCAGAATTCTGCAAAGTTAAGACTACACGTACATTACATGCAGCTGCATTTTAACAGCACTGGGTTTACATTATTGGTGAAGGCAACCTGACACCCTTGGGATAAGTTACAACTTGCAGCGGGAGAGCGCGTTGTTTTTTTCTGGATTGCCTATGAATGTTTGTTTCAAGAAAAATTTGTAGAAGGCACAATTTTAGCACAGTGTATAAGCAGAGAATATAACTGTAAGTACATCTAATTCAGTCATGTCTGAAATTTGGAACTTGTTTCCAGGACTGTTTTTTTTTTTTAAAGAAACATCTTTTGAACAGGTTACAGGTGACAGCACAACTTCAGACAATGGGATAAACAAAATAATTTGGGAAAAAGGCAAAGCTAATAATTATTAAGATAATAAAAATACCACCTAAAAGAATACTTCAAAAATAATTGTCACTGTTGGTTGTAAAAAGAGATCTTCTATCATGGAGGTGAATGACACACACTACTGCATATTACTTTTCAAGATGTTACTTCATCTTGTACTGCAAAATAACTTTACATGTAAACTTCAGATTCACATACTGTGCACAAACTCAAAAGCATCCCTGTTTTCCTATTAATGTAAACAGTAAAATTTAGGGCTTAAAAAAGAAGTATTTTAATGTAATATTAAAAATAGCATAGATAAGGATTTAAATGCCTTGTTTTTGATCAACTATAGGTGAACAGACTTTCCTATTCCTTTGTTCATGTGGTGGAAAACACTATTATTGCCCAAAATGACGCACCTCTTCTAAAAAGCCTATCTGATTTCCTTTGTAATGCATTCAGTTTGTATACAATGAACATACAGTGTAAAATCTTCATGTAGTAAAACTGTGAAACAGTCTTTCCCCTCCCACCTGCCCCGAAGAATGTTTACCTTTGGCAAAGAACACACAGCATGATCACAGCATTAGATCTTAGTAAAACAAGAGCCTAATCTCTCAGTTCCTGGAAGACTTATTTCCTGTTGTGATGGGCTGATTTAATAAAACCAAAATTAAAATGTCGCCAACAGGAAGGCTTCCAACACGTGGAGCTATTCTTAAAGAGTGCCAACATGCAGGGTTGCTAAGTGTAACATGTGCAGAAAGGACACAGTTGTCATCACCACCAATACTGTCTTGAACTTCTCAGTTCAAAAGATAAACTGATCCACAGTTTACACTCTTCATACCAATATTGTAGAACTTAACATGCACATACTCCTTCCTTCTCCCCCCCCCACCCAAAAAAGGCCTTTGTCCATTCATACCATCTCAGCTAGTATCCATGGAGTGTTGTTGTTGCAATGCACACTGAGTAAGAAGCTGATCTATTTTAATAATTAGTTAATTTATATTTGTTTTTGCCCACTCAAACACACACGCGCGCACACACTCACACTCACACACACACATCAGGAATAGCTAGAACTATGCTGGGCATAATCAGGCAGCTGTTAAAGCGAATATTTCACCCCAGTCGGTCATCTTTGCCAGCAGATGTAAACAAGGGGGCTGCCTTCTGCGAGAGAGCACTTCAGAGTTCCGTTTAAAAGAAGCTTTTATCCCTTAACACACTTGGAGCCATTGCTGCTGATCCCAGACCTGGTATCTGTCCAATGGAACATTAGGTTACGTCAAGATGTTGGCAATAAAGTCCAAGAACCGCTTTGAATACTGTTCGGGGTTAACTGTGGAAATCTCTGCACCAGCCTGGAAAGCATGAACAGAAATAAAGAAGGGAAGAGGAAGGTAAGACAACAGGAAACATGTGGGATCTTAAAGACTAGTTTCTAATGAATGAGTTTTTGCAAGACGAAATATACTTCTGCAGAGGCATGTCCGAGGGTGCAGATGGCAGAGATATGTTGAGATACAGTGAAGGATTAAAACACTAATAAAATGAGAGCTCATAGGGTAACACAAGCAAAGCACACATCCTACTACTGCAATCCTAAAACTTACACTGGGGATGCTGGATCTCTCCTTATAAGAGATAATGCTTTCAATCCAGAGTTTTATCTGAGCACTTAAACCATACCCATCTGCCCCACTGCTCTAGCAATATTCCCAAGCATCTTCACAAGAACAGTTTTGTGAATAACATGTGCCACCATCTTTATCTTTCACGAATTGTTGATTGTCACGTAAATATGAAAATACATCCCAATTACATTTCACTAAACAGACTCACAGGGAATAACTGTATCAACTGTTTCCAAGGTCTTTTAAATCAGTGGTTCTTAACCTTTGTTACTCAGGAGTTTTTGAACTGCAACTCCCAGAAACCCCAGCCAGCAGAGCTGATGGTGAAGGCTTCTGGGAGTTGCAGTCCAAAAACATCTGAGTAACAAAGGTTAAGAACCAGTGCTTTAAATCACTGGTTCTTAACCTTGGGTTACTCAGGAGTTTTGGACTGCAACTCCCAGAAGCCTTCACCACCAGCTGTGCTGACTGGGGTTTCTGGGAGTTGCAGTTCAAAAGCATCTGAGTACCAAAGGTTAAGAACCACTGCTTTAAATGACCAGATTAAAGAAGATAGAAGAAGACCATATCTCTATGTTCTCCCAAGTCAGCAGGAAAACAGGAAGAAAGTGGCATGGGATAGAAGTATTAATTGGCCTTCCTCCATCAACAAAGCAGTAACTGAACTCAGTTGTTCCATGGGTGCTTTGAAAGAAAAAAGGAAACATTCTGAAATGCATAGTCTTGTCTTATTTAATTTAGTTTGCCTCATAAAGACTCAGGGCAGAGAAAAAGAAGGTGTTATGTTATGTGCCATCCAGCTGGAATTGATGCACAGTGACTGTAATAGGGCTTTCAAGATAAGTGAGGTATTTAAGGAGTTTTACCAGTTCCGCCCCCCGCCCCCCCCGTGGGCTTCAATGGCTGAGGAGGGATTCAAACCCAGGCCTCCTGACTCCTAGTCCATCAGTCTATCTACTACACCACACCTGCTATCCAACTGCATGCTATCAAGTCAATTCTAACTTGTGACAACCCTTCCCAGGGTTTTCTAGGTAGACAATACTCAGAAGTGGTTTATCATTCCCTTCTTTTGGTGCAAGCTGGGACTAGGCAGCTTGCCCATGGCTACACAGGCTGGCTGTTCTCTCCGGAGGCTCAGTGGGGAATGAAATTCCCAAGCTCTGGCTCCACAGCCAGATATCTAAACCACTGAACTATCCAGCCACCTGCATTCTACATTAGAGCATTCACAATAGTTAATACAATGGTGCCTTGCATTATGACGTTAATTCGTTCCAACAAAATCGCTGTAGAACAAAAACGTCGTAAAGCGAAAATAAAAAAGCCATTGAAACGCATTAAAACCTGGTTAATGCGTTCCAATCGGCTAAGAACTCACCGTCCAGCGAAGATCCTCCATGGGGCTGCCATTTTCAGGTGCCTGTGCAGCGAAAAATGGCTCCTAAACACAACGTGGAGCCATTTTGAGCACCAGGCGGCCATTTTGAAAACCCGATGATCAGCTGTTTTGATCGTCGGGAAGCGAAAATCGGTTCCCAAAACAGGGAACCGATCATCGCGCAGCGAAATTCCCCCATTCAAAACGTCATTTTGCAATAGCTTTTGCGATCAGAAAAACCTCATCCTAATGCGGATTAGTCATTAAACGGAGCGCCTGTCTTGCGAGGCACCACTGTACAGTATTTGAAAATAATAATCAGAGCAGAAATATGTGGAAAACTGATACTCACGCCATGTTTGACTGTTTTTGCAGCATGGGCAGCTTTCTTTTTTGCATCGTAATGAGTAAGAATGTCAATGATGGCCATAAAATATACTTCCTTCCTAGGTGCATCTATAGAGGGAAAATCATGTAACTAAAGCCATTCAGGTATTTCTATGGAGCAGGTCAGACACAACTATAGAAAGAAGACTAAACCAAGACAAGAAATTGGTGATAGCTAAGTGGCCATTATTCCTCTAATAGCTTATTGATCTTGTGACTTAAAGGACATATTTAAGATTCGTAAGACATTTTAGTCTTTGATAAGATGGAATTCTGTACAATCTGGCAGACAGAGGACATTTCTAGATCAGTGGCACACAACCTTGGGTAACCTAGGTGTTCTTGAGCTGTAATTCCCAGAAACCGTGATCAGCACACCTGGTGGTGAAATCTTCTGGGAACTGCAGTCCAAAGACACCTGGATTACCCAAGGTTGGGAATCACTAGACCAGGTTGCCAAATAACTGCTACTACAATTATAGTCTGCAAATTACTTTTTAGACTACAAACACTAGTCTACCCAGTCAGTATGGCCATCTTTTCGCACTATTCACTAAAGTGAGAGTTTAAATATAGGAAAACTTCTTTTACAGTTCTAAAGAATTACAGTGGTGCCTTGACTTACGAATGTCCCTACTTACGACCATTTTGAGTTACGACCAGGTCTGGGTGCAAAATTTTGCTTCTACTTGCGATCGGAGCTTCCACTTACAAACAGAAAAGGGCAGGGGAAAAAGGTGGGAAATTCAAATTTCTAACTGTAGGTGGTGATGAGGCTGCTTCTTTGTAGCTCTTTCGCTCCAACTGTTAGAGAGTGTGTGTTGGAGGAGGCTTGGGACTGCCTTGTTCTACTTCTGAGTGTATGTGTGTTTGCGGGGAGGTTTTGAGCTGCCTGGTAAGGTAAGGTGCTATTTTCTGCTTTTAAAAAACTGTTCTGTGTGTTTTTGCAGTGTGGTTTTGAGCTGGGGCGGTTATGTTTCTGTGCTGTGATGGGTCTTGGGGGGTTTGTTGGTTGCTTGGTTCCCCCCCATTTCTGATGGGTTTGTTGTTGTTGCTTTTTGAAATGTTTTCCCTACTTCTGATGGGTCTTGAGGGTTTGTTTGTTAGTTTGGCTCCCCCCCATTTCCGATGGGTCTCGGAGGATTTGGTTGCTTTTTGGTGTTCCCCCCCCATTTCCGATGGGTCTTGGAGGGTCTGTTTGTTTTTTGCCCCCCTCCCCCCATTTCTGATGGGTCTTGGGGGGGCTTGGTTGCTTTTTGGGTTTTTTCTCCATTTCCTATGGGTCTTAGGGGTTTGTCTGTTGGTTTTCCCCCCATTTCTGATGGGTCTTGGGGGTTTGGTTACTTTTTGAGGGTTCCCCCCATTTCCGATGGCTCCTGCATGCTTCCTTTCTTTTTCCTTTGTTTTCTTTGCATTTCCGACCTGCCCCCTTTGTTTTCTGTGCATTTCCGATCTGCTCTGTTTGTTTTCTGTGCATTTCCAATGGGTCTTGCACACTTCATTGCTTTTCTTTTTTCTCCCCCTTCGACCAGAAGGGATTAATCGCTTTTCCAATGAGTCTTGCAGTGTTTTGTGGGGGTTTGGGTGATTTTTTTTCTTCAGCCAGAATGGATTAATTGCATTTCAATTCAAATGGTGCTTTGACTTACAACCATTATGGGTTACGTCCATCTTCTGGAACAAATTATGGTCATAAGGCAAGGCACCACTGTACACAATATTAGTATTTCAGCCAAGTAACTGGAGAAACGGTCCCCTACCCAACATTGTAATAAAGTAATTAGAAATTCTACTCTGATTATTAGTTTTGGCTGAAATCCTGTAAGTGTACACTTACTTTGCACAAACTGGATGATGTCATAATCTGGTGATAAATATCTTAAATTAAATTAAATTAAATTAAATACTTCCTCCCTGTCCACTTCAGATTCTGTGGCTTCCTAGGGATTCCTTTTGCCTTTAAGAAGCCTTCCGGAGCCTTTGGATGGGGGCTTTAATATTGAAAAATTGCCTTTCGATATTCAATGGTGATCCCAATCCAACAGCAGGACCACCGCCTGCAATTCTCTGATATTAACAGCTCACCTTCCTAAATTAAATTAGAGATCTCCAAGAACAGATAACATCATCTAGCTGACATGGCATAAGTTTATGTCAACAAGCTTTCAGTCATTGTGTAGCATGCAGTTTATCTTCATGTGATTTTTCTTTCTTTTTTAAATGTTTTATTCATTTTCCATTGGGTAAGGGAAGATAATAGGGAAGGGGATTTGGATCAGGGTATTGGGGTAAATAAAAATACAGAATGTGATAGAGAACAATATATATCATTATTACATTTGTCAATATGTTTCTTACTAAACTTAGTTCATACTTATCTTACCATTTTTTCTAAGCCTTTAAAAGCCTTTAAAAACTAAAATTATATCTTATATTTTCTTTCCCATAATTTTAACCCTTTCATATTCTCATCTCTCATCCAATTATACAAAGGTCCCCACTTTTGTCTAGCCTCAGCAATTTCTGTGTTTTTTAATACTTCAGTTAAAATATCCATCTCTGCTGCTTCAA